TTTCTTTCATTTTATGATAATTAATTTTTGATTTGAAATATTCTTGAGTGTAATTTTTGCGTTTTTTGTTAATTGCTGGATTTGTTGGTTGTACATTTTGATTTTCTGTGATTAAATCATTTGTTATATCTGTTAAATGATTGCTTTCTGTGGTTTCATCATTCACAATTTCCAATTCTGTTTCAGATGATAATGCTGCAACATCTACATTATAATTTTGGCTATTTGACGGAAGCTCACCCAGTATTTCATCCAAGGCATCATAAAATATAAAAGGAGTTTTTCTACCACGTCCTGACTGATTTGATTTTTTTTGATCTTTTATAGACCTATATACTCTGCAAAGATTTATCCATTTTCTTTGACACTTTGCTGCCGTTTTCTGAAATTGTTTTTCCACCATTCTTTCAGAGATGATGTCCCATACAAATTTCTTTTTCTTTGCATGTTTTATTTCATCTTGATGTTCGGCATATAATGTAATCAACCTCCTAGTCTCATTTTCACTCCAAATTGAGTCATTTTCAGAGGTACCTGGAGTTAGTGAGCAATCATTTACAGTTATTTTGGACTGTAGACCATTTTCCCCTGTTTCATCAACACTTTCATTATCTCTATCTATATGGTAAAAGCTTAGTGTTTCTTCTGACGTTTGTGAACTAGTTTCATTAAAAACTTTTAAACGGGGCCTTTCATGTTCATCAAATGATATTAAATTATTTTGTACCCATATGTCTGCTTGGTTTTCTGTAAAAAAATAAACCTAGGCTTGTTTAATTTCTCATTAAGTACCTACTACATTACCTATATCCCTTATTAACACCTCGCCCTCTTCGTTAATTATCCATCCATTCCGATCTCTAATTATTTGGTAAGACATTTCATGAAATAATTTAAAGTTTCAGATGCCCAGAGGTAACAAGGACTAATAATTTCTTAAAATTTCTTGACTTTGTAACAAAAGAACAAAAACAAAATAGTCAAAACAATCACTTTTAGGTTAGGATCAAAATATTCTAATGCAAGAATCAAACAAATAGATCGATTCAAAGGGGTAAGGGGATTTCGCAAATTTCGGATCATGATTCTATTGAACATGATTTGAAAATAACAAACGAACGTTGAACTTTTCGAATCCGTAGATCTTGTTCGCGATGATTCGGAATCCGTGGTACGAACGTAAGCAACTTGGAACGCAGCTAAGTAGTAGCAATACAAGATATACCACTTTATTATTGATTTTCATATATTTTTCGTACTCATAACCATAACCCATAATGCTTAGAGAAAACTAAGATTGTTCTTTTTATTAAATAGGAAGTAGTCTTCAATAACCTACAAAATATATATAATCCATATAAAACTTATAGATTTGCTATCTAAATTATTAACTGGCTTTTTAAATATAATATAGGTTTACTTACTTTGTATGGCCCAAAAGATTAGTTGTGAATCTTCACGTATAGTATGCATACCACACAGAAGACCGGGGCTTGATTTTATTGTAAACAATATATTATTCTATAATATTAATTGTAAATATCTTATAAACAACAAACTCCATCTATTTGCTGCAGATAATAAAATACTATAGAGAGACAACCCTCTTGTTTAATTAAAAATATAAATTTGAGTGCCAGAACCACTTCACAGAAAACCCTGGAATCGGGAGATAATTTAACCAACAAGGTTAAATCCCCCTTTTAAAGTAACAACCTGAATATTATTATTTTCGCAAGCAGAGATTTTCATAAAGAATAACTTTTTTTCGTAAAACTTTTTCAGACATACTGTACAGTGTGTCTACCTAAGTTGAAATCATATGGAAAACTTTTTTATTAATAATTTTAGGAAAAAACTTAATTTTCGCAGAAAGTTGTGCATGATCAAACCTTAAATACAAACATCTAATACTAAATTTTATCCGTCGTATACGAGGTGTGTTTAAAATAAAGGTGCTTTATTCTTAAGCAAATTTTCTATTTTTTAACGAAACCCGTATACGACTAAAAAATGTGATATCTGATGATTTTATTTTACGTTTTAGGTAATACAAAACTTTTTATTGGGAATAATTTTGTGTCTAACATTTTTTATAAACTCATCCGCTTATATTACATGTCGTATATATACTATATCGTACATGTAGATATCTTTTTTCCCAAAGAAGGGGAAACGATGCACAATGTATAATTAAAATATACTTACAGAAAGTTAAAAAACTTGTATCTAACAAAGCAATGCTAACTGGCATTACACTTACTAAATACGGCGTAGAACATCCAAATGGAATAAAGCTCTATTATTATGCGTTTTTCTAAAAAAATCTTAAGACGTGTCAATTTCTAATTCTAAAATGACATGTTGCGACGTAAAAATGGCATCCCTAAATTTAATCCTCTTCAGATGACATCTTTAACCCCCTATATTCTCAAATTGGAAGTAGGGGCCTGTGATACTTCATTTGAAAGGTCATTTCATTAACTCTTTAAAGCTGCTATGGTTTTAAATTTTATTTATTTTTAAATTTTGTTGAAATCGATATTTCTGAATTTTCATCGGTAACATCCGAACAGTTTTAATATTTTTAGCTGTGCATTTAAAAGGTTTTTTGACCTACCAATCTCTATGAATAACTGCACATAATTTGTCAAAGCATTGTAAAACCAACTGTAGCCAAATACTAACTAACTTTCAATTAAACAACAACGTATTATCGATGGCCAACGAATGTTTGGTAACCAAAAGACAATTATGTTAGTTTTCATTCATTGGCGCGGTCTGTACACAGCTTAACATAAACGTTCAGTTTAATTTCAAGGAAAATATATAATTAAGTGAAAGTGGCTAAAGTATCAAATAAACATTTAAATTTTGGAGCCAACAGGGAAGCATGGAATGGAGGCGTTTATATTCACGTAGAAATCACCTGCAATACATAAGGCTCCAAAACCAATAAAAAAAAATTGTCTCACTGAAACTAGGTAAACATGCGACAATATTTCAGGTGATAATAGCAACAATACACACTGTGCAAAAGAGGTATTAAGTATTTTCACATACTATGAAGCACTGTTTGGTATCCCTAAAACAGACTAACCTTACCCTAGGTGCCAGGCCACAGAGGGCACAAGGTCGAGAAGTAGCCTAAAAGTTGCTTCTGGGCTCAGCACTCATTTGTGGTGTTACAAAAAAGCCATCAGATCATGCGCAAAGCAGCAGGTGTTCAATGAATCTCAGGAACGCCAAGTTAGAGGCAGGTCAGAAAATAAAAGCGCCATCGTCAAAACTGAGTAAGAATAGGAGAAGTACTAAAATACTTGTCCTATAAACATGGCATTGTAAGTTTTAAAAGACATAATATGTACAACTTCGCACTGGCAAAAGACACCTTTTTTCGATTATGTCACGAAGAGGAGGCAACTGCAGTATTGGGCTACTGCCATGATATATGAGAGATGCGATTCCATACATATATAGAAGCAAAACCAAGAAAAAATTTTTTTATATGTATTCGAAAGTATTTATTTGTTATTTCATAGTCACAACATATGCTTCTGAAAACACTTTTTCCATCTTCTAGTGTCGTCAAACAATTTTAAGAACATGGTGGACAAAAACAAACAAAAATTAAAATTTTAAAATAGTTAAAGTCACATCTTTTTATTTTACAGCGTATGTAGGTGTATTCGGAATACTATAATTTGGTTTAACACGATATAGTAGCGAAACAAAAACATGTTTAGTTTTTATTTTTGTTTCCATACTATCTTGTTAAACCAAATTATAATATTTTGAATACACTTGCTGTATAACAAAAAGATAAGCCTTTAGCTGTTTTAATAAGTATTCTTTTTGTCCCCATGTTTTTAAAACTGCACCAGAAGAGGGAAAAAGTGTTTTCCAAAACATATTTTGAGCTTATCAAATAAATAAAATAAAAACTTATGACCAGATAAACTAAAACATATTTTATTTAAATTATACTACGGTACTACGGTCAGGAAAGTATCCCTATTGAAGAAAAAATAGCTACACCGGAAAGCTACTACCTAGTTTATTCAGTCTAGTACAAAAGATCAAACTAGACAAAGTACCATGACCAATTATTAATAGTTAAGCATAAAATATCTGAGTAGTACGAGGTGGGCGAAAGGCCACCTGGTCCGCAATCCTAAATCTGAAACCACTCCAGCGTTGATCTAATTACTTGACAATAACACAAAAAATATTTTTGTTTCGTGTAAATAATCGGGCGGTTGTTGAATATTGGTATTGGCAACGCCGCAGGGTATGTAAACGTCGGTAAAATATACAAGACTAGTATATGATGGCATGGGAAGGCGGCAAATTGAAATGGCTTGTGATCGTTTATTGAACAGAATGTATAATTTAATTTTGTTTTTTTCTTACCCCTCTCAATGTGGTTTAATTCATTGACATAAAATATGTCAAAAGTGACATCATTTGTTTTTATATTCTTAATATTTCTGGTTGGTCTGAGGTCGTCTTATAATTGACAGGGCTTGGGAACGACGCATAATACAGTATATATATATATATATATATATATATATATATATATATATATATTTCGAATGTCTTTGAATCGTTCACTATTTATATTCACCACTGTCTATCTACTAATAATTCCTGTGTTTCTCCACCAATATTTATGTACAAATTTTAAATTTCTGGTGGGTTCCAGAACGTTCTCGCCAAAATTAGAATAGTAGTGTTATAAAATAAATATGTTTAAATAAATTAATAATAAATAAACTGTTGTTTTAAAATAAACAAACATCACAATAGTCACGTCACAACCAGTTACAACTTAAACAGCCCAACTTAAATTTCTAAAAAAAATGTTTTTTTCGTCATTTTCAGCCCATTCTACTACTCACTTATTGTACGTAATTGTATCGAAATCTGCCAAAAGACAATGTGATGTATTCTAATTATTGGAGTTGGTAAATATTTTACATTTTTATTTCGATAAGGGGGAAAATGAATTTTACCAAAGTCGTACAAATTTTATATAAAAAGATATATTGAGTTTTATTCTTCATAACATATACAGTCACTAGTGGAACAATTAATTGCCGAGTTTACTAAACATTTGTCCATGCAATAAACATCAGCACCGACGTTTCCTCTATATTTTCCAACTGCTTCACATGTGTTTCTAAAAAAGAAAAAAAAATGTATAAAACATACAACTGAAATTATTTATACCTAGATAATATTTATGAATAATTCACATTTTCATTTTTCTACATTCATAATAATAATCAAAAATGTTTAAATTTAAAATTCGATTGTTTCTCGAAATGGTCCAATACAAATAAAAAAATCTGATGTGTCCAACACATGACTTTCCTATCTAGTTATTACAGGCTTTTTCCGGTTATTTTGTAGCACCTCTATAAATGTTTAGAGGATAAACTAAATATATACATTTTCCACATACATCTACCTCGAAACATTTTTCTATAGATATTCATTGAAAACGAAAATACTGAAAAATTTCAATTTAGCACTTTTCTACAATTTTTCCATTACGGTCCATTTTAGAAAAATCATGTATAAACAAAAATATCGCAAACAACTTTTAGTTCAGCAATTTTCATAAAAATCAGAATTTTGCACATTTTGTCTAATTTCTCGAATACGGACCATTTCAGGAAATTTTGACACAAAGCAAAAATTATAGATAATAATATTAGAAGTAACTTTTATTTGAATAATATTTTTCTCCAAACATAAATAACAGATATATTCCATAAAATATAAAAATGACCACCTATAAAGTACCCCCCCAGATGTTCCGATTCTGCCCAAAATCTAATCAGTTCATTGGACGCCGAAATAAAGCTTAAATTTAAAATTTGGTGTTTTTCTGTGTATCGGTTCATGAGTTATGGTGGACATACACGCACACACACACATACGCACGTACCCACGCACACACACACACACGCACGCACCCACGCACACACACACACACACACACACACACACACACACACACACAGACATCATCGCGAAAATAGTCAAAACGGATTCAGGGGACCTCAAAACGTAAAAATCCGTCGAAAACTCGAGGTCGAAAAAAATCATGATTCCTATACTTTCCTTATATACAGATAGGAAACTAAAAAAGGAAACTTAAAGTATGTCAAACACTGTTATACAGGGTTGGGCCAAATTGATAGAACACCAGATTTCTGGCTTTATTGGACAAGTAAAAAAAATATTCAAAAAAATATTCGAAAAATATTTAAAAAACTATTCAAAAAAATACTCAAAAAATACTCAAAAAATAATCAAAAATACTCAAAATACTCAAAAATACTCAAAATACTCAAAAATGCTCAAAAATACTCAAAAATATTCAAAAAATACTCAAAAATACTCAAAAAAATACTTAAAAATACTCAACAAATACTTAAAAATATTCAAAAAATATATATTAGAAAATGTTGAAGCTAAACCTCCACAATCTTCCAGCTCATGAAAAAATGTGCGATACATATGGGTGTTTCTGAAGAAGTTTTTTTCAAAGATGTTAAAATCCTGTCTCACAAAGCCAATGTGGAGAGAACGTTTTCACTGATCGTAGCCCAATGGATAAAGAAAAGAAATAAACAACTTTTGGCCTCAGTAAAAGGAATACTAATCTATAAAATATAAGCTCTTCACATTTTTGCAATTTTATGCTTTTACCAGAAAATTTAAAGCAATTGAATAATATACACTGTGGTGAAAAATACTTGTAAAGGTATTCTGTTCCTTTTTTTTGTTGTATTTTGTTTAATCTTGTAACTTTGTTGTTTATGATTTTTGCTAGGTGGTAACAATAACGAAAATGTACTTACGGACATGTGCAAATATCCTCAGGACAATTCGGAGGATACCGCAAACAGTTACTTTGACACCAATCCCGAACACCAGGAACCATCTTATATAAGCTATTAGGAATGCATACTTGCTCTCTTATCACTAGCGGAACAACATTATAAGGCGCGGGCTTAGAATAATCTTTATAAAATAGCTGATGCGGATTGACGATATCAACAAAAAATGGAGGTATTGCACCACCCGAACTGGAGTGTATTGCGACGTCGGCACAGTTCCTAAATGTTTCAGATTTCCCGCAACCTTGAGCTTGTGTGCCATTGGTACATTCTCCCCATTGGTTTCCCGTAAAGTAAGTCCATTGGAGAACGCACTGAGTGCATGTTATGTAAGGTGGCAGCCGCACTTGGTACCTAAAAATAAAAACTCCAATGAGAATAAGAATGTTTTCCAGGGGGTAAAGGACATGACACTTTTTGGAAACATAAGTTTTGACTAAATCTTAATATAATGGCTGTTCAATTAAGACGCACGATGTGAATTCCCATATAAATTTGGTCAAGATCTGATAATGGGATCAATGAGAAAATCATTGAATTTTTCATTTTTTTAAAATTACTTTTATATCATGTGGATAAAAAAGGATAGTGTTTCTGAAAGAAAGTAGTCAAATCGATTCAAATTATAACAAAAATTGGCAAACAATGGTAATGTTACAAACCTTACATAAAAGCAACCCTGTATCCCAAAGTCCAACTTTGCAAAATATTATCTAAATATTTTGCGACGTATCGTTCCTTATTTTTGATTACTCGTATCGTTTATATCATAAAAAATTATTTTAAGAAACCGACTACAAAAACAAAATGATCAGATCTTTAATAAATTTATATGGGGATACTTCTGAGGCCAAGTGCGATTTAATATTATGTAGATACTTTTTAAATACTTTATATCGGGCAAAAAAAGCCAAAAAATAAACGTTTTTTTGTAGGGAAGTCTCCTTTAATTTTTAATTCATTTTTATTATTTGTTTTTATAGCGGAATCAGAAATATACATTCTATGAAAATTTTAACGGTCTACCTATGACGGATCATTACAGACGGACGGACAGCGGAGGTTTAGTAATAGTGTTCCTTTGGTTACCCTTCGGGTACGGAACCCTAAAAAAGATTCATAGAAATCAGACAATGCGGTAAAGAATTATCGTTAAATATACATAAAAAAAATTATACAAACCTTTTTTTGAATTCGGTTAAAAATAGCTCATTTTAAACTACATTAATTCCACAGATACTCCTTAGACAAACAATGTTAAGTCGCCTTAACTTTATTTACCTTTGAATTTGCATTTAGTCTGCTGCGTTAAGCCCATGAGGGAACATCTATCTACCTCGTGCCTCGTTAAATTATTTTGATTTGAACAAATTAGTTTTTAGTCAGAGCACATTGAAAGGAAAAAAAATTCTTAGTTGGCAACAGATGTTCCGTTTGTGTGGTTCAAAAAAACCGTTTGTTGTAGTTAAAATAGTATTTCTGATTTTAAAGAATTAAGCAACTTTCTTATAAAAAAAATATAAATGGCGAGTGTCATACCTCCAGAATCTATCCGGCCACTTTATAACAACAAACAACTACTTCCCGGGCTATATGCTTAACAAGACGTTGGATTAGAGTCTTATAAAACGTGTTCGCGACCGACTTTATCGATACAACAAACCTTTTGATTTGGCATTTAAGAAGCTAACGTTCCACGACCGGTTTCGCCCTATTTGGGGATCATCAGGTGAGAAGTAGTCAGCTCGAGAAGAATCGCTAATCTACTCTGAAGATAATTTGACTTTCTGATAGATGAGCTGAGCTTTATATAAATAAGACAAAATATCCCGAGGGAAACGATTTTCTAATATCTCGTACAGTTCATTTGCAAGCTAGAAAAAGTAACCCTGTAATTTTATATTACAAGCCAAATTTGGAATGGGTAACGAACAAGTTCCATGGCTATTAAAAAAATTTAGAATATTATACAAGGAAAAATATTACGATAAAAAAAGATTGTCATTTATAAATTATTAGTGTTTTTCTTTTAATAATTTTATTAATCAGAAAATTATTTAATAATAGTTGTCAATAAGTTAATAAAAGTTGTTTTATACATTTTTTGTCCGTGTTTCATGCATTATTTTTTATTTGAATGTTACAAAAATAAAGAAAAATTAAATCTTAAATGATATTATTTCCAATTTTATAACTGAGATGGCTGTGATCGACAATTGAATAATTGCTGTCATGGCAGTATGCTTTTACGTGTAAAATCGATATAATTATAATTTATTAAGTTTTTCCTTTATTCACTTAAAAATGTTTATATTCCAATTTGACTTGACGTACATGTGGATTATGGACTACCAACTATTAAAAGGTACACTGAAAATATAACAAAATGTTTGATATAGTTTATTTGAAGTACATTTAAAAGTTCTCCTTTTCGATTATGTTTTTTGTCCGAAAAAACACGTTTTATAACAAATTTGAATAAAAAAGTATATATTTTTTTGGTGAGATTTACTATACACGTTATGTCCTTTGTAAAGGGGTCAATCACTTTGTACTTAACATACATATTGAGTCCGAAAATTAGTTTTTTTAACCAGCTAATCTATGTTAAGTTACTAAAATCAAGAAGCTACAATAATTGGTATTAAGCTCCTTGTTTATGTACTAAAATAATAAATTTCATGCTTTTCCCGTACGAGCGTGACAATTTCCCGTGCAAAGCGAAGCCGAACAAACTGTGTATCTTTCTACTAGTGATAGGTTTATTAATTCGTTTGTAGTCAGTAAAGTTTGTTTTTGCAAAAGAAATGTTCTCTGACATTTTTATTTCTAAGTTCATGATCTTAAATTATTTATCGGCATTAAAAACAATCAAAATCAAAATTGGAAGTATTAATTATTACACAGAAATAGTTAAATTTTATTAATTAGAGTATATAAACTTTAATTTTAGAAATGCGATCAAAATTTTACCTAAAAACCGCCTTTTTCTTTCCATCCTCGGGAATTAGGTAACTGTGTTGCCCATTTTCCACCACTCGCAATGGATAATGATTAAAACATTCTTGTGTAGCTTCCTGACTAGGATTATTATTTGGACACAATAATACTTCAAAACGACCGTAATGATTAGCTGTCAGTTCAATTTCGATATCAATGTTTTGACCAACACTATAGTGACGAGTTAGAATACCTTTAGCATAGGTGCCTCCAGCTTCATGTGGTCTAGGTTGTTCTGAGTGATAAGCATCACCGCACAGGCCACATTTACCTTCATTTTGTTCCCATTGCACTAAAAAAAAATGGTATGGATTATAAAATTCAAATCGTATTAAAAGAAAGTATAGGTAGAGTCCGATTACAAGAAGAAGAAGAAGAAGAACAGAACAATGGCAAGCCTCGATTTCCTCGCTGGCGAGTGACGTCATCGTGCAGTCTTCCATTGGACTAGCTTGTTTGAGTACTAGTCCTAGTAAAATAGTTGTTTGGTATTTTTCAGCTGCAGCGGTAATGTAATCTTCGACAGTGGGCATGGATGTTTCGCGGTGCATGTCGGTAATTCTGGCGTAGCGGTCGTACCCCAAGGCCAGCCGACTCTTTGGAGTTTTTGAAAGTGACTATTTGCAATTGAGCAGTAGACTGGAGATCCATAAGTTAGGATGGGTCGAATTATTTGTTTGAATAAGAGAAGTTTATTCTCTCGAGTAACTCCACCACGTCTATGAAGCATAGGATAGATTATGCGAATCATAGCTGTAGCTTTGTTAACTCGTTCATCAATGTGTTTTTGGAACGTTAGCCCCTTATCAAGGACAATCCCAAGGTATTTAATCTTAGTGGCTGTGGGTATTATGTTGTTCTGGATTTTTAAGTCCTTCATTATTCTGTTTGTCCTCATTTTAGTAAGCAGAACCGCTTCGGTTTTCTGCGCGTTTAATTTAATTTTGTTTTTGTCCAGGTAAGGGACTAACGTTCTATTCGTGTGGATCTCCAGTCTTCTCATAGCGATTTCCGCTGATGTCGAAGATTTAAAAATGCAGGTATCATCGGCGTACAGCACCGTCTGGATACCATTAAGTCCCATGGGTATGTCATGGGTCATGATGGTATACAGGTGGGGCGAGAGTACCGAACCCTGAGGTACTCCCGCTCTGGCAGTATATGGTCTTGTTATTGTGTTGTTGATTTTTATGTGGAATGTTCTGTTTGAGGGGTGCTTAGTCGCGATTTCTCTTTTCGAATTCAGCGTGCAGTCCACCTTCCGACCAGCTTTTGCGACTAGTCGGCTTGAGTCTGCACTTTTAGTTATTTTGTCATTGTCGTCCTGTCTATGATGTTCTACATTATGAATTTATGTATTTATTTTCCGTCTATAGAATTCTAATGATTTGTGGAGACATCCATGCTTCCTATGAGCACTGTTTGCCTCGTTGCCTTTCAAAATGTTGAAGAATGTGTTATTCCTTCATAGTTCTTACTATTGTAATCCGTGTCTATACACAAGGTATTTGTTACAGAAACAGTGGGTGGTTTCGGCACAGTTAAAAGAATATGTCATATATTTTCACTTATCCATTTCTCATCTTAGTGGAAGGATGTGTATCTGAAAATCCTAATAAATTGGGAGTACCAAACAACATCTTTAATGGAGAACAAAAAGCAGTTATACTACAGGTATGTTATAATATGCTAAAAGTCTTTAGAAAGGGTCAAATTGAATGATCTTTTTATCCTAGCTTCATAAATGGTAAAATGCTGAGAAATTCTAATAAAATATAGTTAATAAAAATATACCTGTGAAACCCCCACAAAACAGCTCGTTGTCATTATAATTTACAGGATTTGGAAATCCGAATCTCCACATTGAATTTCTTGCAGGTGGTTCCATTAATCTTCCATGGCTAAATACCATTCTTATCAAATCCAAGCTAAATACTAGCAGGGTTAATAATAACATTTTTGTAGTTCTAAAAAAGAAGAAAAGAATAGAAAATTGTAAATTATGGCGACCAGGGCAGTGGTATATAATATTATAAACATATTTAGTTGGTTATAATTTTAGTTACAGTTGTATTTTGTTTGTACAAGGGTACCTATTAGCACAAGTATTAAAAATGTAATATCACGAATCCTCGAAATTTTATCGACTAAATTTTAAGCCGAGCCCAAATTTTAATGCAAAATCTTTAAAACCACTCTTGACCATCTACACGATATTGCAGGGGTCGCTATAAAGGCGAGTTGAGTAGACACACGCCACATATTTCTGTCAAAGGAGCATTCGCATACAGAGTAGATAGCCCCATGTCCAAATAGAAGACTCAGCTGCTATCTAGGAGAACTGCAGAGATACAGATAGGGCAGGATACCATCTCCATCTGCACAACCAGAGGATGTCCACAAGGAGGAGTTCTAGCCCGGAGTCTAACTGTAGACGAACTTCTACGCAGACGACCTAGTCATATTTGTTAGAGGTAAGCTTGGAAATATCCTGTGATATACTTTAAAGAGGACTGACTATAATACACCAAAAGATAGGGGCGCAGTTTATTAATCGCAACATAAGGAGAATTATAAGAGCTGGGAAGGGATTAGAATGTGTGTGCGTCGACAAGAGTTGGAATCTGACTTCAAATCTGCGAGTTCGACTGTCGAAGCCTTGTGCATTGATAGCCCAACTGGTAGAGGCGGGGACGCTTATAGTCCAAAAGTTCCAAGTCGGATCCCTGGTCAATACATTCATTTTTTTAATTTTTTCTTTATTTCTCAAGGGGAATTGGTGATTATATATTTCCAAAATTTTTATTTTCTCAAAATTTTAAATTTGCACATTTTTGCTTCTTGCATTATGATTATTATAATGAATTTAGAATTAAACAACCAATCAGAAACCAGTCGTTAGAAGTTTGAGCCAAGCTAGACGTTCCTTTTTCAACGCCGGTGAATTGATTCGACTATTAAACATCGAAGCGACAACATCAGACCAAGCAAACAATGACTTGGTTTGTGGTTCGCATAAAATTCACCCAAATCAACCCAAATAAATAAGTAAAAAATTCATCCTAATGTATAACTACCATTAAGGTTCCATCAAATTTATTAATAAAAAAAAAGAATACAATTTGGTATATTTAGACACATAGCTTAAGACTATGTGGGTCTTACAGGGTACAAATTTTATAATCACAGAAGAAGAATTCGGTACCTGCTTAGTTATATTAATACCAATACTACTACAAAATAACTAATAGTAATTAATTTTCTTTATTACAGTATCATTGCATAATATACTATGTTTTATGTTTGACACAAAAGATATGGAGTGGAAGAAAAATCTGGAAATACCTATTTTTTCGAAAACTGGAGCTGAAAATGTACAAAATTTGGGATGTTGGAGTCTAAGGAGATGCTGATTCCTGTTTTGTTATTTGCCTTTATCATAAATCTCCCTCGTGAGTTCATTCGTCGAATTCTTAAATGGCAAATAAATTTTAATAATAATTATACTTGGAAATAATTAAAACATGAAACGTACTCTACGACTAACACTTGGTTCAATACACCTTTAAGTTCATAGAAATAATTTATTCAATAATCACATTCAGTATAATAGAAGAATAAAAATTCCATCAAATATTGTCGATCAATTAGGAGATTATATAGGTGGAGTACTTTTTTGAAGGTGTGATTTAAACTTACAAAGGTTAAGGTCACTGACAAGAATAATTTAATAATACGAATATTGTCTTGAAATTAATTCTTATAATATAAATTTAATAGACTTGAATGACATTTAGGATTATCCAAACAAATATTAAATATTGTTGTATTGGAATTATTATATAGGGTGTTTCATTAATAACAGAGCTCAACAGACATTTTGACTCCTGCGATTTTATGTTTTTAGATAATTTTTGGATGCAGGAGTTTAAAATAGTCGTTAAATTTGAACTATCAGATTATTTTTTTGACATTGTGTTTTTTAAAATAAAACATCTTATGTTTAAGCTTATATACATTTCAGGTTATTACTGTAACTGTGTACTACAATTGCTAGTAAAAATAACAAAATGTTGTCAAATTTAAACCATGCTGGGGTAGTGAAGTTCCTTGATATCAAAAGTTAAGTTGAAAATCAGGATGTATTTTTTTATTATTGATTGCCAGACAGAAGAGAATTTTCAGGAGGATTTTAAGATTGTCCGTTAGAAACAAACGTCAGTAGTATTATGAGATGTTAGAAGAGTTGATAAAACAGACAAAGAAAGGTCTAAGAAACTTTTATTTGAATTAAACAGAATGGTGAAGCAGATAGCAGGAAGAAGAGGTAATCAGAGGAGAAAAAAGAGTAAGAGGAGAAAGTATAGGGAAAATAAGAAATGAGAGGAACAGAGGAAAGCATGAGTGAGCAGAGAAGCAAAGATATTTTTTAAGATTCTCGGGCAAGATGTTAAAGTTTTTGGATACTGAATGTTTTCATCCGTTTGCCAGCCAACGTGGGGCCGAACAGTGTAGCTCACGGGGATTCTCATAGCAGAAATAATATCACTGAAAGAAACATGCTCATCTATACAGATAGCAGACAAGCTGTATTCACCCTGAATAGATCACGAATTTATTCAGGATTAGTACTAGAATGTTACAAAGCTTTGGCCAAAGTATCCATCAACAATGTGATCAACTTAAGATGTATCAAAAGTAACCGTCTTGCTGTTTCACTAGCCAAGAAGGCAGCCAACCAAATACTTTTTAGACCTGGTCTTTCTATTGTACTGATGACATCGATAGTTATTGGCCTAATTAAGGAACATTTCCTTGTGAAATTCAAGGAAAGATGGGATGAAACAAGAAGCTGCAGACTTGTCAGGGAGCTTTTGAGTTATTCTGACAATACTACATCAAACAAATACTTGACTAGGCAGAATCTGCGCCTGATCACTGGAAACATCTACATATTATGGAGTTGTCAGAATCTGCACTCTGCAGGGGGTGCGCTACGATAGCAAAAGGACAGTCGAATTATTTGGTAAATCTTTCGGCAACGCCTTCGCCAATTACATAAATATGTGTTTGAAGTTATGGACAGTTCAGTCGAGGTCGAGTCATAGCAGTGAGAACATCGATAAAGGTTCAATATAAATGTTGTCAAGTAAAGATAAGTTGTTAAAATAATTTAGAAGTGTGAATTATAATAGTGCTTAAATATTACAAATAAATTAAGTAGTAGCAGTGTAAAGGGTACTGAGTCCAGCACCCTTAATAGCTCCACTGTATTTGGCTATCTCTTGCCAAGTAGGTGTAATTTTATTTTTGAGCCATTTCCGAACAACCTTCAAGTCATTGTCTTTCTTCTGCTCCTTTTTCAGGCGTTCAAGGGTGATTTCTTCTTCGTTGCCCTCTGGTTTGATAGTGGTTGCCCGAAGAGTAACTTTATCAACCGGTTCCTCCCATTCTCCGAGCCCCCTACTGTACCGGCATTCTCGTTCTAAACAGGATCGCCTTAAGAGAATGTCTGCGTTGCTATAGAGACGGCCTATACGATGCTCTACTTCCTGATTATTGGGTGGGTAATTGGCTTTTTCGGGACGCATAGCTGCTGTGACTATTTCTTATTGGACTTCGTGACTGGCTTCGGAAGACTTTTCGGCCTCATTCCCTGATTCTCGATTTATAGAACGAACTCTGCTTCTACAGGTTCTATGAAGGTGCCCGATTCTTCCACAATTGAAATATCTCCTGCTTCTATTTTGGCTATTTCGTTGCATATTTTGCAGAATATATAATATTTGCGAGAGGGTAGGTTGGGGAATAGCATTAGTATTGGCCTCCTCACTTTCCTGGAATTTAATTTCTCTTACTCTTGCACGAGAAGATCTGGAAAGAAGTTTTACCACTTCATATTCTTGGGCTGCAATCAGTTTCTCTCTTAGTGAAAATGACTAAATTAATCACCAAAACGTTGTTGAATCTGCTCAAAGATTTTAAATCTACAGAATATGTAACGGAAATTGACTTCATACAAAAATGCCTTATCAACGATAACAGATTTTTTTCGAAAGATATAATCATAGATTACTTTCTGAAGTTGACTCAATGTAAGGAGTTTTTAAATAAAATTGCTAAAGATTTTATAAAAATCAACAAACTTATAGGAGTCAATGAGGAATATATAAAATTTTAATATTTTTCCTTATATTCGTTTTGGATTCGAAAAATGCTAAGGAGATTTTGGAAGATCCTGTTTTTTACACCATACCTTTATTGAATTTTCTTTGTATGGAAGAAAAGTATCCTACCATAGCTAAATGGGCTACGCAGTATTTTGTTAATCAGCGTCTTTCGGCACCTGTGGATAGGCCAGATGAATCGATCTTCTTATGTCGGCCTCGAATTCCTGTAGACACTTATTATGTCTCAGACTACGAACCTTTAACTGGCTTTGAAATACCCGTTTCAAATGCTGCTGGCCATATCTTGTCTCCAAAGCTTGGATGAGAGATGAATACCTAGGTTCTTCTTGGGGAAGTAACTGTAAAACGGTTGCTGCCTGTCCTCGCAGCGACACTATCAATGAAGCCGCCATCTCTTTCTCGGTCCAGCCATTAGCTCTGGCTGCAGCTTCAAATTGGAGTCGATACGTTTCCCATGTTGTCTGACCGTCAAACGTGGGTGGTTTGATGGTCTTGCTAGTATGGCATTGTGAAACTGGGTTTTGGATATGGTTTGGTTGGGTTATAGATGAGGACGAGGTAGTGTTTGCAGTTTCTCTGTTGCTTACCAAAGCTAGGCTACGAATTCTTCTTTCTAATTCAACTAGTTCAGTTCTAATTTGCCTTTGTAACTCTATTCTAGCCTTTCTTGTTGTTTTAAATTAATTTTTATATTCTCTTGTTGTTGTGCTAAGAGATCTATTCGACCGTTCAGTTGACCTACCTCTTGCCTAAGGTTTTCTTGAATTTGCAGCAAG